CGTCACTCCCGGCGCGGCACAAGAACTCATGCCGACTAAATGGTTCGCTACCTGAGGACTTTCCACAACCATGATGATATTATACTTATATTAGAAAGGAATATGTTATAGATCAATCATGTTGAAATGATAATTGTAATACATGGTTCTATTTAATATCGGTAGTTTTGTTTCTTATTTTGATGGGGGAAACTGTCAAAAATCGAGGGGACGCAAACCGATATCGGCGCACTTCCGGGTGCATAACGCCAAAATTTCTCGACGATTGTGTAAAAATGACCACTCATTTGCCGCCTCCGGTAGCGTGTACATGGTAGTGCGATCATATCGTGCCGAAGTCAGCGTCAAACGTCAAAAAAGCCGCGTAAAAATATACATGTAGTTGCAAAACACATTTCCAGCCGCGCTCAGCAGAGCTTCGCTGTCACAAACAGCACGGACCCTGCATGCTTCATTAACATATGCAAGTAGCAAAGCACTGCTACGCTCTGATTGGTTCATTGATGACCTGCGCTCTGATTGGCTAGAACGAAGCCGGCTGCATGCCGGGGCGCGCGAAGTGAAGAGAACTCGAGCCACATGTTTACGCTGCTTTATACCTTATTTCTACGACTAATTAGCAACATCCTAGTGACGAAATGCGTACTCAACAAAGAATTTTTTTCGGGAATAAATATATATGTACATGTGGGATTGTGGTGCCTTTGGCGTAATTTTGTTGGTCACGTACAACGTAATGTAACACGGAAGTGCACGGAGTCGGACGATTATGGAGTCGCGGCAAGGCTTTCCGTCCGGTCCCACTCTAAACAAAAAAGGACATAACGAAACTCACCAAAACTGGCCTAGAATTAGCCATAAAATGTTTGCAGGCACGTGTAAATATGCTGCCTTTTTTCGAGTGTTATAGGCATTTTCCGCGATGTTTTTGCACATCCCTAACGTTACCTCACGCCCGCCGCCTATTACAATGAACGGCGGACCGGGGCATTTATAACTTCAGATCATCTAGGATTGCATATTCGGTGGTAAAGTAAGTAAACAAACAGAGAAAAACAGTAAAATAAAGTTGACAAACTATAGAAACGCTTGCCTGGGCAACAGTGACAAAAGAAAATATCGATCTAATTGATGCACCGGTGATCGTTAAAACGTTTTAAACGTTACAATATAGTAAAATGCAGGCTAGATCAACGTTCCTTCCGCTGTTCCAGCAGTGCGCCGGTAGTAAATCATGCAATACTAGCGCGTNTCATTAGACAATTATCGAAGAAGCTTTAATGAATTAGGAATGTTGATTTGGGCTCTATATGGGGGATATGGGGATACCTGTAAATGGGACTAGGCTGATTTTACACATTTTATTGTTCTTCTCTTAGCTGTAGATAGCAAATAAGTTCCTTACTAAAATATTGTGTGCATCAAATTTGTGGTAGATATCAAAAGGATCTACATGGGGGTTATGAGGACTCCAGAAATGGAAATTCCGTTAAATACAGTTGCCAGCAGACCTCTGCGCTACTAGTAAGTTATACATATTGCCACTTACTAAATCTTAAAGGATTCTGACAGAAGAAGAGGACTAGATACATATGAGCAAGACCATAGCAAAAACAATGTTTGAATTATATTATCAGTCACATGTGCGTTCACATTAACTATGCAAATTAGGTCATTATTTGCATAATTGGTATCTATTAGGTGTTGTCATGTAAAACACTGTAACTGCCGAATTTCCTACTTAATTATGCAAATTTAGCCTTCATTTGCATAATTTGCATTTAATTGTGTACATGGCTCTATAAGCTACCATTGCACCAAAAATGATGAAACTACATTGTTCCTTTCTTGACTTATCCGCTTTAAAAGTTTTTACCAGAAACTAACCTGCAGTTCCAGATCAAGCTGCTAGGGGGACAAAACATACACCTTTATTCGTGACAGGAAAAGGTATCGGTCACCAAAAATCCACGACCATAGCATGTTCAAAAAAGATCAAAAGATCAAAAAACCGGAAGTTCTATTGCAGTACCAAGGTCAGCCAACAGGAGGCCAATATTTGACCTTGACCTTTGTCTTCCTAAGACCTACCAACTACTAAATATCATCACAATCCATAAAGGCGTTATGAAGTTATGCTTACTACAAATGTACGGAAACACAAACACACACACACACAGACACGCCAAAAACAATACTTCAATTTTTCATGGAGTTAAACATGGTCATGTATATCTCCCCACCCATACCATATACATGTATGGTAAAAACCCTAACAATACCTTTTTAAAAGCCTATATCAAGAAAATAAAAACGTCTGGGGGTGTTTGGCCACTGTACCTTCATTCCGAATTTCATGTTATTTGGCCCAAAAATGAAGAAATTGAATCCATTTGACAAAATGGCAGGAAACGGAGAAACTTGAGGGAAAACAAGAGTTCCGAGATCTCATACCTCCATGAAATATGGGCTTGCCTTATCATACTTCATTTCAACATGTCCTCATTGATTATGCACATTTGCATATTAACATAAAGTATGCATAGTGGTGTTAACCTTTAAGTAATTAACACATGTCACGAGGTATAAAATTCCCATTATTCACCAATAAAGAGTCGCAGAATTTTCACATTGATTATGCAAATTTTATCATCATTTGCATAAGTGGTATCTGTTCAGGTTCTGCCTGCCACAGATTAAATAGATTAAATAGATACATGTATAAAAGAACTATTATATCAAACACTGTAATGATAGAATTTCCTCCTTAATTATGCAAATTAAGTCCTCATTTGCATGATTTGAATTTAATTATGTACAGCTCTCTATCAGCTACCTACATACCAAAAATTAAGAAAATACGTTGTCCCCATCTGGGCTTTAAAAGATTTCGTCAGAAAGTTTCCTGCAGTTCCAGAACAAGCTGTTAGGGGGACCAAACTCACACCAGTTATTCCTGACAGGAAAAGCTATCTGTCACCAAAGAGTCAAGACCATAGCATGTTCAGGACAAAAGATACAAAAACCGAAAGTTCTGCTGCAGTACCAAGATCATCCACCAGGAGGCCCATATTTGACCTTGACCTTTGTCTTCCTAAGACTTATCAGTATACCAAATATCATCACAATCCATAAAGGCGTTATGCTGACTACAAATGTGCGGAAACACAAAGACACAAACACACACACACATACACACAGAGAGAGAGAGAGAGAGAGAGAGAGAGAGAGGGAGAGACACACGCCAAAAACAATACCTTCATTTTTCATGGAGGTAATAATACATTTCTATGAGTGAAATGTGCCCTCCCCTTCTTCTATGAGGGAGCTGAGAGGAAAAGCACTGTTGGCACATTAATACTAACTGACTTTTCGAAAGCATTCGATAGAGTCTGTCACACCACTGCCATTAACAAACTTATATCCATGGGCACAAGACCCTCACTGATCCCCTGGCTCTGTAGTTTTGTGTCAAACAGAAGGCAGCGTGTTAGGTATCAGGACTCTATATCGAGCTGGGAAACACTAACGTGTGGAGTGGCCCAAGGTACTCTACTGGGCCCACTGGTGTTCCTCGCCATGATCAATGACGCAAAACCTAATGCTAATAATCCACACTGGAAGTATGTCGATGACATGAACCTGGGAGAAGTTAGAACTGTGTCAACCCCAACTAAACTTCAGACTGACCTTGACTCATTGGACACCTGGGCCGAAACGAACTCCATGTTACTTAACCCCAAAAAATGTAAAGCAATGTATTTCTGCTTCATGAGAACCCCCCCAGTAATGCAGCCACTGACTCTCGGAGGTCAGCCACTTAGCATAGTTACACAAGCAAAGTTACTTGGTTTGCACATACGCTCTGACCTACGGTGGTCTGATCAAGTTGACGCCATGGTGTCCAAGGGCAGTAAAAGGTTATACTTATTAAGTAGGCTGCGTCGAGCTGGCCTCCCAAGCTCTGACCTTGTCACAGTGTATTGTGGGTATATTCGACCAATAGTTGAATATGCCACGCCCTGTTGGAATGCGGGTATCACAAAAAAACAATCTGACAGCATAGAAAGAATCCAGAAAAGGGCATGCAGAATCATGCTGGGTAGAAGCTATCACTCGTATTCCGAGGCCCTGTCAACTCTTGACCTCCAACGTCTGTCTGAACGGAGACTGACCCTGTGCCGGGCCTTTGCCCTTTCAGCCACTAGGTCTAGGCACGCCCCCTGGCTACCCCCAGTTAGTAACCACTCACACAACATGCAGCTAAGGCAAACACGGCGCTACAAACCACCCATTGGGACAAAAAGATATTTATGCAGTCCTGTCCCACAATGCTGAACATACTGAATAACCTTGCCATACAGTAGATTTCATTTTATGTTGTTGCACATGATGTAATTGTACTTTTTTATTATTGTCAGTTGTACCTAAGTAATTTGCCAACAGAAGTTGTATGATGTAATTTTAGCATAAATGTGTATTATTCTAGCGTATAAGTGGTGTTTAATGCCTCTCAAGGCACTTTTATGTATATATATTATGTATTAGTCATGTAATTTTTAAAATTTGTAAAAGCTTCTCAATTCAGCCTTTGGCTGCAAAAAGCTTCTAACCTACTGTACTATGTATGTATGAAGTATGTGTTTCTGCAAATAAACCAGTCTATATCCCCCCTCATAGGTTGTATACTACACAAAGGGAAACATAATGTAACACTATGTTATGTTAACACTATTATGTAATGTTAACACTATTAACGAATATTCATTTCTGTAGGTGTATTCGACGTTTGTTCAATGTCCTCGCGTAACAAAGGATGGTCTATTGGCCTCAACTCTTCAGAGGAGCACGGAGAGAAAGATGCGCGCTTCTATTTCCGACTTCGCACGGACCGTGCCCGACAGGCCAGCACTATAGTCGCTCACCATCGATACGAACCCAACAAGTGGGTCCACTTGGCCGCATCCTACAATGGACAGCGTATGAAATTGTATATCAAT